ACACACACACACACACACACACACACACACACACACACACGGGCTTGGCACAACATGTTGGCACACAGAGACCGTGTCTGCTTTATTGGAGTGTAATATAAACCTCATGTCATCCTGTGATTCTTTTCTGAGCTGAAAACACACACAGGTAATTTATTGCCATTTTTTTTAAACATAAGAATCAGCTTCACGATTCCAACCTCTTGTGCAATGCTCCTGCACTTGTTTGGGAACCTCCCTGAAACTTTAAAGTACATGAAGTAGTTTGGAGCGAGATGAAAAAAAAAGAGGTTTTATCAGTTTTTCAGCACATTTAAAAACAAGAAAAAGACAAGAGGGTTTCTCAGAGGTTTGGGAAGCTGGATGATGGTTACAGCAGTTTGTTTAGTCTGCTTTGGTGTTGACGACAGAAGAAGAGGTCTCTTTGTTGTTCAGAGACGCCAGAAAAGCGGCGAGCAAGGGGAGCCCTCGTTGTGACCGAGAGGATCTGAGCTGAAACCGAGACCCTGCTACTGTAGCCAAACAGAGAGCTCTTGTATTAGCACACACAATACGCTGCACAATGTAACTCTGTGTGTGTGTGTGTGTGTGTGTGTGTGTGTGTGTGTGTGAGATCGTACAAAACAGTTCCCAGGCAGACTGTAAAACAGACTCAAAAACAAAACAACGCTCCCTGGGAAGATAAGAGCTGTTCCCAATCAGCTCAATAAAGAAGTTGCACAGTCGGTGTGAGAACAACAATAATAATGGTAATAATAAAATATCCTGCTGGATCTCTGTTCAAGTATTGAAAACTAATTTTACAATAAATTCACCTGGGTTATTGAGTCTTTTTGCTCTCGCTTCATGTCTAAATAATAAGTCATTTCAACTAAAATGTGTTGGTGTTCTTATTTATTTTTATGAGTTTGTTGCTCCATGAAGAGATGGTGAGTGCAAGAGTGGTACTGACTATTTAAAGGCACACACAAAAAAAAAACCAACAACTCTAAAGGAGCATGCAGTTTAGAGATGAAATATTACACCTCAGAGAAATATGAACCCACAAAGGCTGGGAAAACAAATACCAGCTCCCCTCAGACTTAATTACATCAATAAAGGCAGGAGATTGGGGACAGGGAGAGTGGAGTCATTTGTTCACAAATTCCAAGGAGTCCCACCAGATCAGCTGTGGTTTTATYCAGAACCTGGCTGCAAAAACAGAAACATGGGAGACAAAATTTTCACCTCTCATGCAGAAAATCATGTGAAACCATGAGGTTGCATGTTAAAAATGTTCCAAAAGGAGAAAAACACGCGTTTAATATTTGAAACTGACAGCTTTCATATTACTCTATTTTTGTGTTCTGTTCAAAATTCACCTGGAAACTGTGCAAAAATCATTTTATTTACAGGATATCTGCTCAATCGTCATTTCCACATGTAAAGTTCTTACATTTTTCATAAGTGCAGTGTGGATCCAAGCCCGAACCTGTGTTAAAACATATTCCAGGTATTTTAAAGTGAGGTTTAGTGGAAGCTTAAAATAAATCATATCTTATSTCTTATAAATAACTTTTTACCAGTATTTGTTTAGAATAATAGTTAACTGATGAGCAGCTAGTCCTGGGGTCTGCAACCTGCGGCTCTAGGACCGCATGAGGCTCTTTGGGCCCTCTGCAGTGGCTCTTTGAAAATGTGACCAAACATAACAGAATAATTTTTTCTGTTTGTTTTTCATACCCACAACAGAAATCAATTTGTATGCAAATATGTGCTCAATACTACTAATACAAAAAGTAAAAACTGTAGATTAGCTCATGCTAGCCTGTTGTTTACTTAAATAATCCAACTTATTGCTGTGATCTTTCTCTCAAATCCATCAGAATTACCTTTAAAAAATTTTGTTTGGTTTAGTTGTACTAGTTTTTATGAAATTCAATGTAAATTTTTTTTCGTTTACATGAAAATAGTCTTTTCATTTGTCCAAATGTTTAAAAACAATAATAATAAATATCAAAATTCACAGCATATTTTTTATTTTTATGACGTCACCTCCACTGGCCGTAAAGGTTCCAGAAAAGGCCTCAAAAAGGCCCGCGGACCACCAGTTGATAATCACAGTTGTAGCTTGTTTTGCGGCTCTGGACACATTTTTTTTCAGTGAGCCGAGGAGCAGAAACGGCTCTTTTGATCGTAAAGGTTGCAGACCCCTGAGCTAGTCTGAAGATCAAAGTGGATCGCTGCTGTCGTTAAGCAGATATGACAAATATGTCATGTCTGTTCATGCAAACACTCTCATGAATCTTTACACCACCATCAGTTTCACTAGTTTTACATGAAAAGCGATGGGTATCAGCAATTTTAAGATGTAGCACATTCAGCGTAGCCATGGAGTCAAAACTGTTTAAATTGTCCAACTTAAAATTTCATTATTATTTTGTTTGAATGAGTGGTTTGCTGCTGTCTTAAAGTCAACATATTACACTTTTAAATCCTTCTTTTTCACATTTATATTATTCGTTGGGGTGGAATGCTTTGGTCTGAATTCCTCCATACTGTAGCTCCACAAGCCCCTCTTTCACTCTTTTCTGGGGGGTGTCTCAGATCAACTCATTTTGAGGCTGTCTCTTTACATCCAAATGAGGCGCCTCACCCCCTCCAGCTCCCAGAGTCCATTCTAGTTTAAAAGAGAGATTTACAGCTATGTAGCCTTGCGGAAACTTTTTAAAAAGCAAATTAATTAAAAAATGTCAACAAGAGAAGATGTGTCCATCCAGCCTTACATGTTGCAGCCAGAGTCTGGCCCAGAGCCAGAGGAGGTTTAAGATGACAAAATTGTAGTTGGTAAGTCCAGACCTTATATGTCTGTTCATTTGTGAATAATTTGACATAATAGTTTATAAAACTTCATAGGAAATAGAGAAAACTGGATGGGTTGAGAAATATGACCCAAACAGAACATCAAAAATATCTATGCAACACCAGGAGAGACCAATTAAAAAATTTCTACACTCCTAGAGATATCAAGTAAAAACAAATGCATTTAACTTTTTTTTTACAATGGATTTTGCATATGATACTGATTAGATGTCATCCAGACTGCTGTTCAAAGAGGTATCTGCAACAGGTAAGACGTTTACTGCTCATGACCACAGAACTCCACTTTAAAATGTCCCATTTGAAGCTGGTTGATCTGTAATTATCTGGAATCTACTTTTATTATAGCATTTGTATTTTTCCCATGTTTGTTCTTCCTTCTGAAATAAACTGGTTGTTTAGGTTTATATTTTTCATCACGATCAGCTGATTAATCGCGCCTCGTCAGGAGAAGCTTCACTTCCTGATCCACCTGTCGGACAGGTACTGACTGCGGGCGGGACGGAGAAATTGACTCACGCCYCGACTAAACAGGAACATGGACGGAACTTTATTGAAACTTTGACGCAGTTATTTATTTTTTTTCATGGTGACAAAGGTGGCCCAGTGTGCTCAGCCGATAATGTGTGGAGTGGTCCGGGGAAGCAGCGCTCTGAACGTCTTCTTCCTGCTGTTTTTTACCAGCATTTTCGGTGAGTAAACACTTCAGGGTTTCAGCTGAAGGCAGCTCAAACTTTGTCCTTGAAGCTGCTCGTTTAGTCACACCAACCTTGTGTTTATTTTATTTTKTTTTATTTTATTTTCGCCACGGTAAAATTCAGAGCTGGTGGGTTTGAGTCGTGACTTGTCGTCGCTTCATTTATCACCCGTGTGACGTTCAGGAGCGCCTCGGGCCTGTGCCGAAATAAAAAAGTTCAAACGAACACCCACCCTCCAGGACGCCTCAAAATACTCCCGGATAAACATTTATATCAAAACATTGTTGTATTTAGTAATGAACTCTGTTTAGAAGATGTAGCCAGCCTTTTAGTCTTATGTAACAGTTCATATCCGACATGCGTGTTTGTGTAAAAACAGGAAGACGAGCCCGAGGCTTCTTACAGCTCAAGTACATCAAAAACATGACTCTGCAGGGAAACTCTAAATATATAAGCCTTGTTACRAGAGGATACGTGATGACATCTAATCATAAGCATTGTTGTGTATCCCAGGTTTAGTAAAGACATCAAATATGAAAACAAAATTATATAACAAAATGCAAATAGGGTCTTGCAGCATTTTCATTTGAAAGTGACATTTTACTGCATTGATATGTTTTATGCTATTTACGTTAAAATATATTTTTCCCTTGTGCTCATCTGCCTGGCAAAATCTCACAAGCTGCTGATCAAATTTTATTATAGGGGTGTGGATAAATTTTTAATCCTACACCAATATTAAATCTGACAGCGGATTCCAAAAGAACATTTCAAACCATTCAAAATATCACCAAAATCATGTGATTATCTGAAGTATGAGGGAAGTTATTGATGTTTGTTCAGGTGAAATCAGCTCATGTTTTCTTGCTGCAGTTTCACAGCAGAACCAATGTGACCATTTCACCTTGCTGTTTTCTAATTTTGCTCATAACTTCCTCAGTGTTCAAGATATCGCCATGAAATTTTAGGAAAAGATTCCCATTCTGGTTTTGTAGGAAGCGTCTTGTATCCTAAAAAACTAATAAAACTTAATAATAGTCAATCAAAAGTAGCAGAAAAGGTATAAAATAACATTACAAGGCAAACTGTAGCATGAAATCAACTTAATGTGTCTTAGAAAGTAAGGAAATTAAAACAATTTAAAAACCATGTGGACATCTGTTTTTTGTAAACAAAGCTCCTCAACCAATGACAGCGTGTTAAATGTGTCAAGTGACGAAGACGAGCATCAAAACACTTTGCAACAAGCGCTGTTCTGGATTAAAAAAACATACTTCGATGTTTCAAATCATTATTAAATTTGGAAGAAGGGCAGATAAAATAATGTTCTTCATGGCAGCTTATCTCTTTAAGGGGTCACTAGAAAAAACTCAGGTGATTTACTTTGATCCTCTTTTCAAAAAAATGTCTCTTCAAAACGCCTCAACAAAAATTAAAAACTCAAAGACGAGGCTGTAGCTAACTACCTGACAGCAGCCCGATTTGTTGAAATTCATAGAAATAACGAAGCAGGAGGAAATTACAAGCAAACGCACCGAGCAGCCTTGCAAAATCTGGTCGCAGCAGTTTGGGAAGAAAATGACAGCAGCTGCTGACGAAATGTCAACATCCRAATTTATGGTAAATTGCAGAAAGTCTACTGCTGATTAACTTCTGGAGTCAGCTTAAGTGACTTAAAAAATAACAGTAAAGCTTATAGGTTAGTCAGGTTTATTATTGATTTACGTTTATTTAACCAGGCAGATCCTATTGGGATCACAGATCTCTTTTGCAAGCAAGACCCAATCCTGAAGGTCTTGCTTGCTATGTTTGCATGTTTATGAACTGTGGGAGGAAAACTCATTCAAACATGAGAACATCATGCAAACTCCACACAGAACTTCCTTCAGGTCCAAAACAGGGCTTGAGCCTGCGGGACCTTCCTGCTGGGAGGCAACAGTGCTAACCACTAAGCTGTTTATAAATATTGAGCTAAGATTTGGTGTGGTAATAACTGAAACTCATCACTGACACTTGGTGCTATCACATTGTGAAAAAAATCTGTAAGATTTTGCCATTAACTGCTTAAAGTCAGCTCATTCAGCAAAATATCTCATTAACCACCAATATATGCAACTCAGCTGACACAGCCATCTGACCTCAGAAAACAACACTTTTGCTGTAATTTTGTAAAAGTCAAAGAAATTCTACTAAAGTTTTGAGTGAATGTAGCTGAAGCTGAATTTACAGTATTTCATCCCAGACCTTGTCAAGAACAGGCCTTTGGAGCTCCTATGAGAATAAAATTGTCATTTTAGTCTCTCAGCTACCTCAGGGAGAGCAGAGTTCTTCACTTTTCACAGAGTATAAACCCAATTTGAGAATAAATCAGCAGGTGCTTCTCATTCTGTGAGATCTTTGCTTAAACTAAACTGTTGAAGTCAAGCCTGTTTGTTTCCATAATATCTCACAAACCACTAACTGTCTATGAAAATTTTAGCATTTGATCACTGGATGTAAATCTACAACTGACTAGCTTTTGGAGTCAACATACTGTATATATTCATGTATAATACGATCTAATGTATAATACGACCCCCACTTTTTTGAGCTTAAAAAGCATAAAAGTTAAATCCTCAAACTACCTCCAATTTCATACAGACTTCAAGATTTTTCAGCCTTTGCAGTCTTTATACATATCAGTAAAATGATCATTGGACTGTTCATTTTATTTTAACAACATATGTACTAAAAGGTATTTTGACAAAACAAATATATATCAGCTGTAGCAGCATCATATGAATTCTGGCATTTTACACATAGTCCACCAGGAGGCACCAACACAAAAGTCAGACTTCACATGAGATTTGGACCATCTTCTGAGAGGAAAGCAGATTACTTCCAACTCGCGAGCGCCCCCTCTGGTGGGGAAACTTTTTTCAGGGATGCAAACCTTTTCAGAACACCGGTAGACGGCAGCCATTACAGACGAACGTGTTTGTTGTTGTTTGAGGAGCAGCCCGGTTACACGCTAATGTCTTTAGTTCGTTATCATTACTAAGGTGCAGGACTACTCCCTCCCCACCTTTTTTAAACATCATATCGCCTGCCTGGATCTGTTACTGTCTCGCTTTGAATCACGACGGAGTATCACAGGTAAGCTCGCTTCAGCTGCTTTTTACGTCGTGGTCTCATTCCCGGACTCAGGCATTTTGTGAATGAAGCCGATATTTCGGTTAAAATACATAAGTAAAAATAGTTATCTGAGTATAATACTACCCCCCAACTTTATGGATGATTTTATGTATTAAATTTTACGTATTATACTTGAATAAATACGGTAATTAAAAATGGRTGCTACATCGTATCGACAAAGCCAACACAAAAATGTTAGCAATGCACAAGCTTTTCAGACGCTGCCCTAAAATTTGATATGGTAGTAGATAAGTCAGTCAAAGCATATAATCTGAGTCATGCAAGATCATGAGATAATGCTGTTTTTAAGGTTTGACCAAAACAGCTACAACGCCATCCTTTCTCATCATGGGATGGGATTATCAATCTTAGTCAAAATGTCTGGCATGAATGATGGTGGGTGATATGAGCATTCCTCCACAGACTAGTAGGCCTGCACTGCTTCTAAAGTCATTAGGTAATAAATCAAGCAGTCAGCAAAACTCAGCTATTTTCTAAACAAAAAATAATTAATTAGGGGACATAATTACCATTTCTTTAAATCATAAAAAACTCTCTGAAACTGGATGTCAGTGCAACCACTGAGCTGTCAAGTTTCCCCATCATATCTCCAGTGACTGCAAATTATCAGCATCCATCAAACCTTCAAGAGTGTTTCCTTTCTTCAAGGCTCCTCTGCTTGATTTCTATTTTCATAAGGAGTTGGATTTGTTCATCTTGTTGACTCAGACACACTGAGGCCTTTGTAGATGAATCACATGGATCCTGAGAGAGCTCATGCTTTTTTTGTGTGGCGGTGGGGATAAACTCTTACCATACTGGTTGGAGTCTGATGAAACCAGAGCTGTTCTTCTAACACTGAATAAATGAGCTGATTACAGGCCTTATTTTTACTCCCATTTAGTCCTTAGAGAACTACAGATTGAGTCTTTTTAAAATGATTGAAACACTTTTATTCCCAAAATAGCCATAAATTAATATCAGAAGAAGTTGGTGTGCATAGACGTCTAATGTCCTGATGGTAGTCATACATTAAATGACTATGCTTTTATTTTGTATACAAAACTGACTGTTGTAGTAGGTAAGACCATCTGTTACTGATGAAGGCTAAAATATTTAATACATTGGCACAAGTCCTCTCAGCTTTTTTTTTTTAAACTAAGATAATTTTAAAAATATACACAAGTTCTGGAAAACGATCAAATAAACCCCAAATCAGCAGCGAGAAAAATAAACAAAGTAAACAAATCATCTCCAGCTTTTAAGAACAGTTTTAGATTAATCATGTTTTGGCCTTTTGTTGCAGCCAGTAGGGAGTAAAATAATCCTGCCTGCAGCATCCACTTTAAGCCATGCGGACAATGATTAAAAGAAGCATACTGGTAAATCGAAGGGCGAATGAATAATTTATAAGATAAGGGAAAAGCTTAAGGTCTCAATTGGGTTTATATTTCTTGTTTCTCCAAAGGGTGAGAAATAAAATGTTTCATTCAACAGGTTTCATCCGACCAGAATATCCTCAGCTTTTAGCAAGATTTATTTAAAGAAGCCCTTAAATCTTGGCAGYTGCATATTAGATCAGCACAGATTATTCAAAATAGTTGATTAAGTTCATTATAAAAATTAGTCGACAGAATTTTAGTATCTATTTCTGCTGGGGGAGAGCCCCCTTTTTTGAGTTATTCATTAGCTGTTGTTTTTAAAGACTACTTGCAGTTTAATTTGGATTTAATAATTTTTTTATAATCAGTTGTAGGGTTGGGCATAATCGTATCGTGTGCAATTAATCGTCAGAAAAACATTAATCGATTACTTTTTGGCACTTGACAATTAATACAATTAATGCCACCAGGCAGACTGACTGGAGATTTCTCCAGTCAGTCTGCCTGGTGCTCCTCTCCACTTCAAATACGACGAACATTAAAAATAAAGTTTTATAATTTATTTATCTGTCAACACAATTTAAAATATGATGAATAGCCTGAAATCTGTAATTTTCACACAATTTGGAACAATTTTTTACAAAGATCAAATCTTTCCTACTAAATTGGTCATGTGACTACAAAATAAGGGTGTCCAGGGACTCGAGGGGATTAATTGTCAAATTAATCGTTATCGGCTAAATATCACAATTAATCATGTTTAATTTTTTTGCCAATATTGCCCAACCCTAATCAGTTGTATTAATGTTAGAAATACATGTGATGAAGCTATTAAGCTTTATTTTTATGTGTCCTTATTTTAATTTACTATGAGAACGTATGTTAAGGTAGAGAGACTGGATACATATTTTTGCATGGTCCAAAACCTAAGGGATAGAATCCTGGCTGTGGATGAAGGTCCGTGATGGACAGATGTGTCACAAGCCTGTCAGTTGCAACAGTGGAGACTGGAGAGAAACTTGTATTATGGTGTCACTCAGTGCTGCGTCTGCCAGGAGATCTCTGCTGCTCTGACATGTTTCAGGCCTCCACTGTGTGAAGAACACATTTGTAGATGCTATCAGGTTTTCTGTTTGTTTCTTTGTCTAAAATGAGCAGGTGAAATGTCACTCTCTGATAGTGTTTAACCCACTTCACTCCCCTTCCTCTGGAACATATAAAAGCTGCACGTCTTGTGCAACTAGTGAAATGAATTATMGAATCGCCACTCTGGGAGCATAAAAATGTGGATTCATGAGGAAAAACTCTTTTTTTCTGCACCGCCCCTGGCTTTTATAACATCTTGAACTCTCTGAGGCATGGACCTGACTAATGACAAAGTTGACTCTTCATCAGTCTGCCTCCACCTGTCTCTTACTGTTGTCAGATCGGCTCTGCAGGTTGGAGACTTGTCATCGACCATTTCCTCTTTCACCACAGATTTTTAGTTAGATTGAGGTCTGGACTGGTTGCAGCATGGCTGGGTGATACGGCAGAAAAATGTATCACAATATAAGCGTTCCATATCAGCCAATATCAGTAATTATTAATTAGTTTTTGTTTTACCTAATTGAAAAAAAGACCAGGAGAAAAAAGGCAGATTATTACTCCCAGCTGGTAATGTGAACTTTCCTCTTTCTTTATTTATCCACAATTTCCTCTCGAGCTGTTGCACTCATTTTCTCCTTTCACTCCAAGCTGTTCCTTTTTAATTTTTAAGGCATGCGGCATGGTGGTGAAATGCTTGAAATATGCCAACAGGTTGTTGCTAGCTGACCAAAGAGTGAGTTGAGTTAGTTGATGCCACCAACCTTGCTTAGTTGGGCTTTAGCTGCTGGGTAGCATCACTAGCTGTTGTCACAATCTCTGGTCCCAATCCGTAATTTATTTCCCTATGTAATTTTCGTAGATATCCGTAAACTTAGTAATGAGCGTGCAATTATTTTACCAAGCCAGAGGAGGACACACAAAGAATAAATTGTGCCACTGTGGAAAGAGGAGGTAGGTAGCGATTTTACAGCTACAGTAGCTGTTGTCACTGTCTCCGGTCTTGGTCTGTCTGTAATTAGTTTTTCTCTACGTAAAGTTTGTAAATCAACAACGTTCTATCGGACATATTTTCTATTGATACTGATCACGTGACTGCCATGTATTTTTGTATTTTTTAAGGATAGTTTTCACATCCTTTGCCCTAGGGCTGCACAATATATTGAAAATTTATCGGCATTGCAATAACAGCCTGTGCAATATGCATATCGCAACAACTGCATAAACTGCAATAAATGGTTGACTCAGAAGTTTCCATTTACGCATTTTGTCATTCAGTTGGAAGCTTGAAGTATTTCACCAAATGGTAAATGGACTGTACTTGTGTAGCGCCTTTCTACCCAACCAGGATACTCAAAGTGCTTCACACTACAATTTGTGTCCTCATTTACCCATTCACACAGCACTCTACCAGATCTCCTACAAAGCTAACATGTACAATCAACTATGGAGACTAATCAGTGCCAATCACATTCAGACACTGATGGGACACACATCAGAGACATTGAGGTTAAGTATCTTGCCCACACAACAACTGAGACAGCTGGACGGGGGATCGAATCGGTGACCTTCCGGTTCCAGGACAACTCCCCTAACCACTCTGCCACAGCCGCCCCAATGAAGGTGAATGAAGCCCTTCATGTTTTTGGTCAACTGGATGAATCTCTTCATATTTAAAAAAATTCAGGCTGGAGTGGAAATGATTWGTTATTTTTTAGGTTGTTTTCTTGGCTTTGACCCCAGAGCAGAAAGATATCAACACTACATACTTATGCATTTGTTCATTTATCGCAAGTCATATTGTCATCGCAATATTAAGCAGTTATCYCACAACGCAGATTTTTCTAAAATCATGCAGCCCTACTTTGCCCTGTTGCAAGATGCCTTAGCATCCCGAAAATGATGTCATCCCCCAGTCATCCTTTGAACCAATGGAATAAGTAAAGTGTCCAAAATTACAATGTAGACGTTGACATTTATTGAAGATGTAATCTTCTCTGTGCTTTAATTTAACGTGACACTTTCATCCAGTCAACACTCGTCCATGACCGCTTTTCTTCAGCCCATTGTCACCTTTTTTGTTTGGGTGTTTAATGATGGTTTTTGTTTGACTTTTCAAAGGTAATTTCCATTTCTTTTAGACAATTTCTCACCGTTCGGTCACACACGGTGACTTCAGTTTCTGCCTGCTTGCTTTTTAATATTTTAATTTTTTTTGAATTAAACAATAAAAGGAATGTGTTTTATATTTTATGTGTTTTTCTTAAACTCCTGCTGTGACTTTTCACATTTTCGTCATTCCTTCTTATATTTTGTCTTCAGCTCCTTCTCCAGTCGCTTCCATCAAAGTGAGCACTCCAGCAGAGCTCCATGCATCTAAAGGGGAAACTGTCAAATTGTCGTGCACTTTTTCCTCCACAAGGAGGCCGACCAGCAAGATGACAGTGGATTGGTCCTACAGACCCCCATCCGGAGGTGCACCACATACAGTGAGTACATGTTTCTTACAAATTACTAGGTGTAAATACTGTTTCAGATGTTCAGATAATGGATTGCAAGCTTCTACGGATGTACTTATGATTATATGTTCCATTAACATTTAAAGGTTTTTACTTTGTGCTGTCGTTCACTCCATCTCAAGTAGGACAGAATCTGTTAATCAAGAATAAATGACAAAATGTAAAAACCTAACACTGTGTTGAACTAGTTGCGCAAGATGTGTGTTAAAATATTAGTTCACATGATCCGATCTAAGCAAGAACATGTGGCAAGCAGAGGCAGGTGTGGCACTCATGATGACAAAGTAAAAACAGAAATCAGACAGCAGTAATTTCAAGCACACATTAAAATGAGAAATAACCCTGTTAATCTGACAATCGATTTTAATCTGCAAATTTAAAACTAATCAACCATGCCAGTGCTTCTCTAATCAATCACCAAAAGGGATAATGAAGATCCAGCAGTAGTTGCTACAACCAGCTCACCGATGCTCTTATATACTGTTTTTACTGTGTAAATTCTTCTAAGGTTGTTTAAAAGCAGCTTGTATTTGTTTTATTTGTAAAAGGAAAAATTCTAAATAATAAATCAGAAGTCTTTTGTGTTTTTGCCCTCATGTCTTGATTTTCAAAACCTACTTGTACACATCCTGGGATTGTAATAACTCTGAATCAGATTGATTTCAGTTTTTGTAATAATTTAGGTTCTGTTTATGTTTTACCCTTTTTATATTCTCCTCCATCGTGTGTTCAAAGTTTCCCCAGTCAACACTAACCAGGCGGCTATCATCAAACCGCTTCCTTTGAAATGGTGTTGTGGCCTTGTTTGAAATGCGTTCGGATGTATCCACTGCAGCCCATAACTGCATTCAGTCATTTAACCCTTCGGCTGAAATTCACTCTGTAGTCCACTAAGAACGCACCACATAATTTAAGCTGCTGCTTTGTACTTGAAGACAGCCATCATGTGGTTCTTTGTAATTGCATTTGGACAGTGGGATTCCATACTGTGGTAACTGCAACTCTATATGCACTCATTTCCTATAGGAGCACTCAGTGTTGAGTGGAGGCTAATGTTTTGTGGCTTTGCTGACGTGGGGGGCTGCGGGGGTTGTCATTAGGACGTAGTTCGCTGCTCGCAAAGAATGTAAGCAGATCCAACTGTTTGTAATCACGTGCTACATAGAGTCCAGTTTTCTTCTGACTTAGTTTATTAGATTTTCTCTTTAATGCTGAGAGAGGCAGCTCCTCAAARGACCCGCACATGGAAGCAAATGGTTTCTAATTTTTATTTCTAAACCTTCAAATCCCTTCCACCCAATTTCATTAGTCTTTGGCTGGTTTATGGGCCTGTGCTTACCCGGCCGTATATCACACTAGGAAAGAGAATAAATGAGCATGTGAAAGCCTTCATCAGAAAAGTATGAATTTGCTGCCAAAGTTTTAGTGTCAGTCTGCACTGCTGCAGTGGCTCAGTCCTGGTGGGAATAAATTTTATATCTGGTGGGACGAGAGGCTCACTGTTCAATCAGATGTATGTGGGAAATCGAGCTAATTGGTGTATTTGACAGTTAAATTCTGTTATTAAAAGTTTTGTCAGTGGTAGATTAATTTTAAATTTTGATTTATTTTATTAATTTGTTTTTTTAAATAACATTTTCCAGTCCTTTAGTTGTAGTGCAGTTCAGGAGCTGCTTTGTGTCAGGTTTGTTTCCAGACTGAGCAGACTCGCCACCGCTCTCTTGTAAGCTGCATTCTGCCARGCTTTAAACAATCATAAATAACATTACACAGGAATAATCAGCTCTGTATACCATGCCTGCAATCAGGATCAAGAGGAAGAAACTCAGATTGTAGACACACAGCTTTAAAACCATAACATTTATCAGCTGTTATGATTGTTCAGGCTGTTCCGTGTTTGCTTTCACCTTTATGTAGCTTTTATTGCACAGCCCAGGACAGTTATCTGTAGCGAGGCTGGCTTGTGTTTTATAAGCTTGTGGAAGTAAACAGCAGATACAGGCTGTGTCCAAAACGGCAGGACGGGTCCTCCGAAGGTCGAATTTGTCGGCCGCATACGTCACAGCGCCG